GAGTCCCAAGACAAGAGCAGATCCAATGAAAATCTTGAGGAAGAAGAACCCATTCCATAGGAAGATCTTTGTTGGGATGAGATAACTAGTGGGCCACTAGATTCATTTACCCTGGAAATTGACAAGCAAGGAGAACAATCTGGTGTTTGTGTGCTCAAAGAAGAAGATCCACTGATCAAGAACAAAGAGTTCTGGAGTGAGTGCCCCCTTGCTTTGAAAAGGATGAGACTAATGTGGAATTGTCCAAATAAAGCATTTTCACTTTCCCTCACAACAATTGGAGACCTGAATCATAGCTCACTGAACTGCTAAAAGTTCTAAGAGATTGATGTGGAGAAAAGCTTCTTCTACAGTTCAAAGTTCCTTGAATTCCATTTTGTCTATACAAACACCCCAGCCCTGAAGAGAAGCATCTGTGAACAGATGTACCTCTGGCTATGGAGGCAGTAGAGAGACTTCTACAGTTGGGTTGTCCCTGTTCAACCACCAGCTGAGATTCAGCACACTGGAATTTGACAGTTTCACTTGACAATCCAGTGCAAATGTTCCACTGGTTCCATAACTACCACTGAAGGACCCTCATGTGGGCCTGACCTAAAGAAATGAGTAATTCCAAGGATGCCCACATCCCCAAAAGAGATATAACTGTGTGTGCTGGTGGAGAACTGCCTGTTCCATGGCCTGAAGGAATAGAGGAAAAGGTTGGCCCCAGCTGAGTCTGGAATTTAAAATACCCATAACTGAATAAAGTACTGTGTGGGAGTAAGAAAAGACTACTACTCTTTGATAAGACAACCAGCTCTCACAGCTTCTAATACCAGAGTTTGAGTGTGTAGTTCTGCCAAATGGCTGGAAAGAGAAAGAAGAAGTCAGTCATCCAGGTAATGGTGAGTGTGAACACTGAGAGAGTGAAGATGGTATGAAAAAGCTCTGAATGTCTGGCAAAAAATGTATAGAGCAGAAACAAGACTGATTGGTAGAGCACAAAACTGAAACACCTGGGTGTCATGCATGAAATGAAGATAACACCTTGAAAACTCAGCAACCAGAACATGAAGGTAGGCATCTGTGATGTCAAATTTTGTCATCCATAGTCTGCATGAAAAGAGCAACTGAAGGGAAAGAAAGGACTCCATTGTAAACTGAAGAGGCTGAAGGAAGAGATTGAGACAAGAAATATCAATGGCTGGTCACCAATTGTCTGTTTATTATGGTACTACAAACAGCAAAGAATAAAAGCCCTCATGAGAGAAGGTGACAAGCTTTATGTCTCTGTGCAGAAGATCCTGAATGGCTTGTGCTCAATGATTGAATGTAAGAGAGTCTTAGGGGAATGGAAAGCCAACTGATATGAGAAACAGAGGAGGAAGAAGCATTGACTAAAGGCCCAGTCCACTTCTGTGAAGTTGAAAGACCCACTGATGACCCATAGACACAAACCTTTTGAAAAAAGACCCCACAGGATCTAACTCAATAAAGTAGTAAGCAACACCAAAATCTGTGTTCCACCCTGGAGTAGGATCCCTGCTAGTAAGGTCAAAATTGCCATTGTGTCCCAATGGTTCATGGCACCAAAGCAGGAGGTCTGGAAACATGAACAGGAGATGTAGTAAACCATCCTATAGAAGAACTTTGGGACAATCGAGAAACCAGTATAAAAAATGAAGAATAGAAATGGACCCCATCTACTCGAGATTCCATGGATTCTGGAATTCCTGCAAAATAGACTGAGAAAAGGAGCTTCTCTTAGACTCCTAAGGGCCAATGCAGGATGGCAAACTCCCTCCAGAAAGGCATCTCTCTCCAAAAGATCTGAGTATCAAACCAACCAAAATACCAAGGAGAGAGCAGAAGCTTATAACCTAACCAAAATGGAAGTCAATAAGGGATTAAGACCCTCCAATATTTGAGAAGGGGATCTCTAATAGGCCTCAGACAACAGTTGCAAAGATGATAAGAAACTGAAGACTGTTGTGAGTGATAGGCAATTTCTGGAAAACTGAGATTGTTTAAGATGAACAGTGACATCTTGTCTAGAGTCTCAAACAGGAAGTAAAGGGTCTAACCTCTGAGAGTCAGTCCAAATAAGGGTTCATAGGGCGATGGTAAGCCAAGGAATACTAATCCAATCAAATGGGGACAAGGCATGGCAACATCCTCCCTCAAATAACCGGCAAATCTCCTTGAATGCACTGCAACATCTGGCAAAGGTGGAAGGACCAGGTAATCTAATGAACTAGTTTCTTCCAATAAAGAAGGTGAAGATTCATAAGCCACATGATAAATACTCAAAACATGAAAAACATGGCATACTAGTTTAAAAAAAAAGGTGCAAGAAGCACGACGTCTGTCCAAGGTTCACGAATACCTGTTTGAGTAAAGGAAGATGTTGGAAAAATAGTCTGAATTCTCACTAGTCCACCCTTGATCTCCCACAAACTGTGCCTCAGAGCCAACTGGATAAAAAACATCAGACTGCATGTAAGACTCTACCCCTCTGCATATAAAGATGCGCGGGTAATGTTAGAATTGTGAGATGGTAGAGGAGGGGCATCAGGCAACTTTGTGTCTGTGACATAAATGTGAGTATTCATATTCGAAAAAACCTATCCAAAATTTTGTTGTTGTTGTAAAATCAAGAAAATAAGCAATAAATACAAGCCCCATGAAAAGATATAAAATAATTCAAAAGAAAACATTACAAATGCAGTATTAGTACTGAAAAGAAACCAGCAGTAAACACGTAAGACCGTCTTCATAATTTTTGCCATCAAGAAAAAGTGAAGAGAGAATAACTGGGGGCTTATATATGGATCAAGTATGGAGGGTGCATTGATGTAGGAGGAGAGAGTCACAAGACTAAAATCACTAGGGGCAATATAGTGGAGTATAAAGACTGGAGCAAGTGATGTAGAGTTTATACCATTATTTAGATAACCAAAAAAGCCTTTCGTCGGGATAAAGCTAAAGTGTGAAAGGAAATGTGTTTCATAGGAATTTTTTTAACATATAAAACCAAAATAGATTTATATATCAATATAATTGAGTAAAAAAGGTCTAACAGTTCAAGTAAATGAAATACTTATTACTTGGCTAACAGATTTAGTTTTGATAAAGTGGAGTAATTAAAAAATACCTTGAAATCTATTTGTAGGACTTTCAAAACTGGTAATCCACATTTTTGTAATTTATAGCTTTTATAAAAAAAAATGTTTGCTAATGGTGCTAACATCATATGCTTTTGTGTTCATTCAATGCATGTCATTTAAGTTTTTGTTTTTTAATGTTCAAAATTATGAGGCTAGTACATAAAAATACAAAAAATAAAAATACCCTTACGTAAGATAGTACTTTAAAGTATACAGAATACCAGTAGTTTTTACTGTAGTGAAAAACAGCTTTAAAGATTCTGTTTAAGAAAGACATAATCAAAAATAAAATACAAAATTCAACAATTGAAATTATTTCATATAATGAAGGCTCAAATTACATAGCTCCTTATATGCAAAATGAGAAAGACAATTGAACAGAAATATTCAGAGAGCAAAAATAAGTACCAAAGGCAGTCAGATGAAATACATATAATGCTAAAATGATTTTCAATAGCTGAGAAGAAAATGTATTGGACAACATGGAGATGGTAGAAAAACCTTTTAGAGATTTTGTGCTTCCTCCTTTACTTTCAGCTTAAAGATATACAGGATACTTCATGTTCCAGAATGAATATGAAAGATCTAAAATCTTTTATATGCTTAAAAACCTAACCTATTATATGAATATTTTTATCAAAAACAAAACAAAAAAGGAACATTCAAAATTTAAATAAGTTACAGGTTTTGCCAAATAGCTTTACATAGTAACAATCAGAATGACTATTTCCAATTTACATAAAACATTATGACTATTAGTATACAACTACTCTTTGATAAAAAGAGCATTTCTTGTGTTTCATTCTGCTATAACTCCCCCTTAAAATCGAACCGAAACTTTATTTTATTTTATGTAATTTAAGAAATTCAAAACTATAAAGTGAGTCAAATATACACAACTTTATAATATTATGACATAACTTTTTGTTGGTACTATTACTGTTGTTTTGTAGAGAAACTATTTTAAATATGACAGAGTAAAGTAGTTTACAGAGCTCCAACATCCATAAAGTCTACTGTTCATATTTTTGTTTTTAAAAATTCATGAACTGTTAATGTTAGTGCAACAAGTTAGGTTTTAGATACTCCAATTAAACAAACAAAATAATCATTTTAAAGATAATTACGAATATTGAAGTCACAATATATTTAAAATGCTTTCACAGAAATATTTAGATGCAACTATGCTAGCCTAGAGTTCCTTAGGAAATACTGTAAAAATGTAAAGGTACATTTTATATCATTCTAATATCAATAAATTTATCAAAGATGAGACATAACAACAAGATTTTCTAGACAGATTGGATCATCCCATTTTTTCTCTAAATTTTCTACATCTCTTTCATATTAGAACTAAAATAACTTGGAATCAAAATTTTTCATTTGTGGGAGCTTTACCCTTTTATAAATTGTGAATTATCCTACTTGTATTTTGTCTTATTGATTAAAAGCATTGAATTTTTTTTTTTTTGAAGTAGAATGCATTATATGAACCTCCTTGAAGTGATAAATTAATCTGTAAATACAAACCAGGATGAAAAACACCAAAAATTAGCACAAGCATCTTTCCTACTTTATTTTCTAAATAAAGATCATTGTCTTTGCTATATAATGTTAAGTTACCCTGTCCTGTATCCATATAACTTTGTTAGTTCTTATGAAATACATATGGCAAACTTTACTCATCAAACAAATAAATTACATTTTACTTTCACATACTGGAAACTAAAGCCCCCCCCCCCCCAAAGGCCTTCTTTTCTACAGCCTTGTAATATTGAAAAAATACTTATTTTAAAAGCTTAACATGTAATTTAACAACTTACAAGTTTATGGGATTTTTACTTTACTCACCAGCTTCTTTGAAGACAGAGCAAAGCATCCATGCAGTTACTGACGTAAGTTCACTTGGTTTAGCCACTACTGTGTTTCCATAAGCCAAGGCAGGTGCCAACTTAAATGTGAGTAAATAAAGAGGAAGATTCCATGGTGTGATGATCCCAACCACTCCAACTGGACTGCTGACAGTGTAGTTTAAGACACCTATCTCAGGCTGTATAACAGCTCTGTAACAAAACGAATTAAGAAACAAGAAAGAGGAGGGGTTTATCAAATTGAAAACCCCACTATATTCAAAATCTTGTTATCAACTTTCAAAAGTTTCAGACAGAACAGTGTAATGTATTTCATTTTGCCTCTAATATATGTTAACTAAAATTTACAATTTTAAAATGAATACATATTATAGAGAAACACAAAAGAAAGTAAAACGTTTTTAAATATAATGAAAAAAAAAGATATTTCTAAAATTCCATCACCTAGGTGTAAACTTTATCCTAAATACTTAAAAATCATTTATAAATTGCATTCAAGAAAGATGACTACCAACTTCTGAGAAATGTTTCAGCTTATGCCTTTTTTTGAGGGACTTTGAACATTACAGGTTACAAAACTGATTTTATAGTAACCATAAAGAATATAAGAATGTAACAATAGAATGATGCTTGTTATAGTTTGCTAAATGTTTTGTACTGTTAAACAAGTTATTTATCCCAATAACAAATGTAAATAATTAAATGAAAATAAAAGGAAATAAGTCTTACGTGGAATGATGATGATGATGATAACTTTACAAGGGATAGATATTGTATTTGTTAATAATAGTGTATTTACATTGAATCAGAAGAGATTCTTTAAATTTCCTATCAGGAAAATAATCACAATTCTATAAACTTTTGATACAATATGGTGTCTCCTCAATTTTGTTGTGTGAGTTGATTTAAAAAAAAGAAGCCAGCTTAACATTACATCAAGATTAACAATGGCACAAATATGTTCTTTGAAATGTTTATGTACTGGATAGCTATATTCACCTGTTTATGTGGCTAAACAGTGTGTACATGTTATTTCATGAACAATGATGAACAGGATTTCTCTATGCCAATGGTTTTAGCAAAGCACTTTTTGGATTTGCATGGATTGTTGTTACTGGAAGATGAATGAGTAAGCATATCTTAAGATTAATAATGGTTGGAGATGGCTTGAATGGGTTAAACTTATATTAAAGTTTTTCTTCATTACCCATTCAAGCCATCTTCAACCATTATTAGTCTCAAAGTGGATTCCTCGTCATCAAATTTGAATATCTTATGTTTTTTAACTGGGTTTCTTTATGATACAGATATTCAAACCTGATCTAATCACTTGATGAACACACACAGTTAGAGGTTTACCTTCAAAAGGAATAACTCATACAAAAGTTTTTCATTTGATGGTTTCTCTTTTTTCTGTCATTTGTTAGAACCTTGTGAATCACATTTATGAAATGTTTGAGTAATATAACTATATGGATAGCTATTTAACAAAAGGATGGCATTAAAGATTTTTCTAATTCTTTTAAGTTGTATGACAATGACACCCAGTTTAGTAGTTAGTGTGAGTCATAGTGTAAGATAATGGGTTTAACATACAGTTTAGAATATATTGTAATAATAAGTTTGTTGTTTTCAATAATAACCGTGGGATCAAAAAAGGATATAGATTTCTGGAGAGTATGTGCAAGTAAGACCTTTATGTCATGGTGTTAATTATTCAGGAAAAGAGAAGGGAATCAATGACTTCAAATATTGAAAATGTCATTGATATTATCTGTACCATCTAGCTGGTTCAAGATTAGTTTGAATAAGATTACATTGAATAAGAAAGAATGATTCAATGAAATGCATAAATATAGAGGCCATAATGAAAACAATTTGGTTGCTCTTGGCAATATCTTTGATTTATTTATAGTAAAACATACTTGTGCTACCATTGAAAATTACAACTCACATGGCATAAGTGATAAGACATCTTACCATATCACAATTTTAAGAGAATTGTAATAATTTTCTTAACAGGTGTTTAAGGAATCCCTTGATTCAATCTAAATGCTCCTTTGTTAACTATTATTATACCATGTAAAGTTTATTCTTGGCACACTTCGATGTGAACCATTTTATTGTCATAGTTTTGTATTGTTTATGGTTACTATAATTTCAAATCAGTTTTGTAACCTGTGATACTCAAAGACTTTTGAAAAGGGCATAAGCCAAAATGTCAGGTAAAATAAAAAAAAACATTTCTCTGAAGTTGTTTGTCATCTTTTTTTTTAATATGGTTTTTATTCTTTAGTCAGCACTGTAAACTTTCAAAACTAATAAAAACATTCATAAATAATTTTGCTTCTATTTCTCAAAAGTTACTGTAAAAGTTAAAAGTATAAACAATGAGTAATTTGATAATTCTAGAGTATTAATAATAAGTTTTCAGTGAAAGAGAAGAAGAGATTAGTTTTGTGGCTTCACATACTTACATATGCATCATATTCCTAAAACAACTACAAATAGGAGGAAAACACACTAACAGATCACAGCCTTCATATGAAGATGACTTATGTTTTGCATTATTTAATTCTGATCTCCTTATCTCTACATACAAATTGATGCAACCTAAATGCTATTTAAAAAGAAATCCACAGTGTGTTACTTTTATGTCTATTTCAAATGCTTATGCACAATACAGATATTTTAAATCTTTAATTGGGTGATTTTTAAAGACTTTAAACACAATTATTTAACAGATATAAATAGAAGTAAAAACACTTAGTAACCTTCAAAATGGTACTAGAAATAAGAAACAAAGCCATTAGATGCGAAACATTTCCTCAGGCATTTTAGTATTAGAAGCATTGGGCTAACAGATTTTTTGTGCAAAATTGAAGCATTTAGCTGAGTTGTAATTACCTATTTCTTCTTCAAAGAACATTTTATTTCACTAAAATAGTTAAATTAATTAGACTATTGGGCAAATTAACATTGTCTACATATTCTTTTATATGGTACCATTTTGAAAAAACATGTTCAAATAAAAAAATAGTATAAGATTGATATTCTACACTTTAAAAAAACATTTCTAAAAAAGTGAACAAATTACTATAAAGGAGTATGTTTTCCTAGGTAAATTACTATCTTTTCCCCTAAGTATATTTGTAATATATAGTTTTTGTGACAGATATTTTATTTCCTACTAACAGATATTTACTATGAGTTGGATTACTATCGCTCTGTAACTCACTTTTTAATTTGTCATTTCTAGATTTTGTTGATAATTATTTCTACGTAAAATCTAAAAAATTAACATTCAACCTGAATTTTTTCATGAGTTAAACCATGTTCCAAACTAAAACAATTCACAAGAATTCTAACTTTTAATTTCAAAATTAACTAGATAGAGAATAAAGCTGAAGAATGATCACCAACTATGAGACTAGCAATGGTAGAGTATTCTAGAAAAGAAACATGACAGGGAAAAGACAAACCCAATCCATGTTGAGAAGTACAAGAATTCAGGCCAAAGCTGTGGGAGAGAATGTAGCTGTATTAGGAAAACATAATTTAGATTTGTGTAACTGGTTAAAACCAGTATGAACATGCACAGAATACCAGAAGGATGCTTATATACAAATTATATCTTCCATTTCTCTAGGGTAACTGTGCAATCTATAAAAAGTTTTGTACACTCACACATATATGAATTATGCCCTCTCGTTTCCTCTTATAAGTATCTTTGATGTTCACAAATGTATATACATACATTACAACAAGAGCCCAAAATCTATAAATGCCAAATGTTATTGATCACTACTGTTTCACGTAATGAGGCTTTTACTAATCAACAGAATTTTATAACAGTTTTAAGAATAAACTATATTTACCAGATACTGAACATCATCTATAAAATTTACAAAGATCATGTCTAATAAACAATAAGAAATGAAGATATTTCTGGATCAATTTCAATATAAGTTGATAACATTTACCTATTTTGGGCTTTAAGTATATTTGTTTGAAAACTTTCTGTCACTACAATGATTAGGACCTAACACAAGGGTCTTGCTAGTTCTTATGACTTATTATTCTTATTTGTGTATTTATGCAGCCAGAATTAGGAATGCTGTACAAATAATGAAGAAAATATTCAATTTTAGAAACTTAGGAACAGGTGAATGACACTGGAAAAGCATTATTTCACTTAGATAAAATGGAAAAATTAAAAAATGTGTCTTTCTTACTTATCATCATTTGGGCTGTCTTTTGAACATCTTGATAAAGGATATTTATATATATATATATATATATGAATCAAGTTTTTGTTCTCTCCCTGGGTAATCACTGTGATCAAAGAAGAAACTTAAATGCATGAATAATATCAACTGTTCTTTCTGAAAATTCTATGGGATTAATAAAACAAAATGTATAGGTACTATAAACCTTGTAACCTCTTCCTTTTAAGAAAATCATTATAATCAACAAAGAAATGTACATCTTTGCATCTGTTCTCTTGGTTCCTCTATAGGATCAATGTGCTCAATAGAGTTATGCATACTTGAAACAAGTTAATTGTTCCTTCTAGAAATTCCATGTGATGAATATTTATATTATTTATATAAAATCACAAATTACATTAGCTGTTTCTTTGAGAAATTACTGTTATCTATGAAACATTATATATGTGAATCATACTTGAGTAAGGATTCACATTAGGCTAATATAATAATATGTTGACAAACTGATTTATAAGCATATGAAGTGATTTACTTTTGGGGGAACATACATTTTAACAGAAAAAATACCTAGAGAAGACAGACCAATGTTCTGTTGAAACAAACAGAATGATCCCCCCAAAATAAATCACTTCATTATGCTTATTAATCATTGTTCACCAACTTATTATTACATATGAATCATAAAATCTTCTAGTTGGGAATTGTTCATATGTCTTTATGTGTTTCCATTTCCAAAGAGAGATAAATGTAATAAATAAAAAAATTATATTTAAAAAGCTTTATTCCCTTTCATAGATTAATGTGTTTCATAACAATCTGCATTGCTATGTCTCTATTGTTCTGTTCCATGTCTTAAATCCATTTCAGATATGAGTATTATTTTTGCAGTGAAGGTGATAACAGCAAGATTATTATGGAAATGCATTAATTATATATTATTTTGCTTCTCTGAAAAGTATTTATGGTTTGTAAAGTATGGGATATGATTTAATTCACTAACAGTCAGCAAAAATTGTCCCTATTAAAATATTCAGGAGTTGTTTTTGTTTCTACTAAAATAAACTATTATCAGTAAACCACAGTAATATAAGACATTATTTTTGCAGGACATTAAAAACAAATAAAAGATTTTAATTACAAATTACATATCATGTAGTCTACACATGTATTTATGTGTAAAAAAAATTTGTATAAGTTGTAGGTATAGATTTTAAAACTGTTGGAGAGATAAGTTTTCAACTAGCAGTATTTACACTGTTGTAATGTCATGAAAATATGGTCAAGAAGACTTTACATGAAAATTTCATTATTTCTTGGTATAGTAATGAAACTGTTATTCACTATTTGCATTTATATTAACTAAAATGTAAATAAAATTTTTAGATCCTATTGTTATTATTGGTAATCAAACCTTAAACATGTTACCATTATATCTTTTTGTTTGTTATTAAGCACAAAGATACATCATGGGCTGTCTTTTACCATTATATCAAAATTCTACATGCACACATGCATATATGTATGTCTTAAATTATATGCATGAGAACTCTTATAAACAATTGAATTACTTTCTTATTACATGACTAGTACTATGTATATTTTCACAAAATGTAGTTCTTCACGTTTGACGGGCAGCATTACATTGATGCTCAAAAGTAAGGGTTTGTTACGGCCCCAGTCAATTCTGGCACGACCCCCACTTTTTTGAGCCCACCACTGGTCCTTTTATTTTTATCATGAAATAAATAATTTTGAATTCAGATCCTGTTATTTCTTGTAATGCTTTACCACACAATAAGCTGTTGTCTGTGACTCTGTTGACTGCTATAATTTAATACTTTAATTTTAGTTGGCTTAGATTAGTGATGTTACATAACCAGTAATACAAAATATTTAAACTATATTGCTGTACACAGACATCAAATGTTTGTAACTTAGAAACTAAGTTAATGTGTTAAAGTTTAAATTACAAAATTGGTTATTATTAGAAAATTCAGACTAGCAAGAGGAGCTTCAGTAAATTTTATTGTGATCAAAACTGCATTTGTTGAACTACTTTGTGCATAACACAAGGCCATAAGGGCTGCCCTATTGATCAGATGTCATCATAGTTAACTGGCATGCTGTGAACATGTTTCAGTTTAGCCAGAAAATCTCCATTTTGCTGATAAAAAAAACACTTCAGTGATTACAAATTAACTTTTATTGTCCAATTTTGTAATAAAAAAATTGAGATACAGCATTAGCCCACTAACAGACTTTGTGCATTTTTCAAACGTGAAGAACTGAAAATGTGCAACAAAACTGTTAAAGATATTACAGAATCGAAACCATGTCAATTTATAATACAGACAAAACAGGTTTGCTAACTTAACCCTTTTGCAACAGGCTTGTGTAGTTTACACAACCTTGTAACAAACATGTAGCCAGGAAAAAAAGTATACATACTATAACTCTGAAAGTACTTAATGTATGTTCACAAAATTTGGCAAGCTTCCAATAAACACTGCAACTCTTTAGTAGATGAAAAATCAGAACTTTTAATTTTACTAAAATCTTGTATGTAAATATATGGAGTCAATGTGTCGACTTCTCTGGATGCAAAGTCATTTTCATGTTAAGATTAAAAAATAATTTTCTTCATCCAACAATTTACAAGTTTTATCTGCATAATTTCTAAAACTTCCTAAATAAACATTAAGTGTTTATTTTCAGAAAAACTTTATATTTTATCTGTTATTTTCTCGACCATAACTCTACATGGTGTTAATTTTACAGACCTTGTAATTACCATAAAAAATTATAAAATACAGCTAAGTTACCTTTCTTTTTTCTAGAATGACTGCAAATTGTAACAAGAAACCACAATTCTTTATCTTTAATAGCTTAAAGCTCATAACAGTATACATTTACTTAAACTTAATTTCATTATTTTATTGCCTATTGAACTATGCCTAGCTAATAATGCTGCCACATAACCAGCAAATCACTAAGCAAAAGTGCAGTTCACATTACTGTATCGAATTATGTAAAGCATGAACCGCTCGCAAGCATATCTTGTGAAGTATTTATTATTATTTTTCATTATCTTAGCTAATCTAACCTAGTAAGTTTCTAATTTTACATTTTAGTTACTTTTATAATAATAAATAAAAAATACACATGAAAAACAAAAAACATAATACTTACCTGGGTCTTTTTCTTAGCTGTCAACTGTCGATGAAACTTAGGCCTACTTTTTTTATACAAATGGTACTATTACACTAAAGAATGTTTTATTTAATTAAATACAGCACCTAAGAACACAGAATAACAACATGCAAAAAGCAAACAATGTTCTAAAATTATCATAATTTTGTGGCTTTCTAACTATGTAATAAGTTTTTAAAAATTCAGCTAAGCTTCTCCATGTGATTCCCATGAGAATAAATTTGTAACTGAACAACAAAATAGACAATGCCCTGAATGGAAAAGAATGTAATATAACATGTTATTTGACAGATTAAAACTTTAACTTTCTATTGGTTATTAATAATGTAGTATAACACATTAGAGAGAGCTACTGGTAATTTGTAAAAGTGGATGTGACATATGGCTACAGCAAATGGGTCTCTAACTTATGGCTTCGTAAAAAATTATGCTTTGCCCAAGTAATATCTATATTATAACAAATAATTTACATTAAATTACATACTTCTCGGATGGGTGGTTAAATAAATTAGAGAAGAGGGAAGACCTAGAGATCAAATGTCACAATTCTCATACTAGGGAATTGAGAATTTTTTCATATTTCTTTATAAAATTAAGAACTTAAAACTTACATAATATTAATATTTGACTTATTAACAACATTTTGATGCCAAATATATTCATATACTTGGATATAAAGTAGATTAATTAAATTTTCAATGTAAGTCTGTAAAAGGTTGTGACATGCACACTTTGACCTACCCATTGCAAAAGGGTTAATAAAACATTAAATAAGTTCCCTAGGAATTTTTTTGGATCCGTATGCAAAACTGATTAAGATAGTGTATGTATAAGAATATATTATCTTAAAGTATTCACTATTGTAATATATGTTATTGATAAATTAATTTTCATTCCCACATTACACAATCTACAACTAAAGATTTATTTGTTTAAACCATAAAGTTTTTATGTATGTATTTTTTAAATTAGATCTTTCTCTATTTGTGTAAATCAACAGAACATTTAAAACTTTTGTAGTTATTGAATAAAATATATTGTAACATGTTTTTTGATCTTACATCTTAAGTATTATAAATAACCTTACATTTCCTTATCACTTTGGACAGTTGTTGCAAAATGGCGAAGATTCAAAACAGCTCGTGGAATGTCAAGTGTACGAGCTTGCCAAAGTGGTTTTCCCTGATCTTTTGATTCTGCTTGGGCAAATTCTTCCAACCTGGATTCTATAATGTCACTTATTCGATACAGAACTTTTGCACGCTCTACAGGACTAGTCTTTGACCAACTGAAAATAAAAATTCAATGAATTTTAATTTCTATATGACTTCAAGGTGAAAATGAGGGAAATGGTCACAAATGGGTATAACATCAACCTAAGGCATTTTTTTCATTGCATTAATTCTTACAAAAATCAACAAGAATAGCTAATGCATTTCCAAACTCAAAATAAAAAGTATTTATAACATTAAGTAGCAATTACTTTTGAATGATATTTTCAAAGATTACCAGATGGTTAACAGGCTTTTGACCAAATCAGATTGATAGTTCCTTGCAGAAATAATAGAAAAAAAATTTATAAACTTAACTGAACAACATTTTCATTTAATAAATACAAAATTATGCTGAATATTAACATTTGTTGAGAATTTATGGACCACTATTACTGAATACAAATGCTCTACCAACAACTCTGATCCGTGATCTCTCTTAATATACTTTCTACTGTGGTTACTCTTTCTAAATTCTCCTGTAAATCAATAACTTCACTTTGTTTAAGAACTTCAAACGTTTTCCTACAGCACTAACATTAATGTGTACGTTAAAGCCACTGGTGCAAGGTTGAGAAAGATATTGTTTATTTGATGCATTATGGGATATATTTTGTAATTAATGTATAGCAATTTCTAAGGAAGCTTAAGAAAAATGTTGTAAACTGTAAAAAACGACTGATGTGTTTGATTTTTTTGCAATACATCTATTCTTTAATACACAAATAACAAACTAAAATGAATATAACAGTTCTGAGGTAAAGATTGCCAAATAACTTATCAATATAACTTTTTAGAACAGAAATATGCCTGAATCACAAAAGGTGATACATAACAAATAGAAAATATTAAAAATAAGAAAGAAAACAAAACATGTGGTGCAAAAATCAAAGCAACCACTATTTTTCTTAGATAAGTTGAACTGAAGAGATAGGTATAAAGCTAGGGAAAATATAATTTATATGAGACATTGTGGGAAATGTTTTAAGATGTACCTTTACAGTTACATTCATTCTTTTTTATGTGACTAATTATATAAATAATTTGTACTGGATAATGGGGTAGAAGGTTTAATAAGGTCTTAAAATTTTCCCTCTCTTTAGTAAACTTGCACACGTGATTTTAAATTTGTATGACACTATTTGATTCAGAATTACATATCAGGTTGTTAAAATAAAACCTTCCTGATAAGACACATGTATTAAAAGTAATAAACTCAACATGTCAGTAATAAAAGTCTCATTCACTACTGCTTAAAAGAAATACAGTTTTTCATTACCAAGCAAAAAAACAGGTTATATCTTAAAAAAAGAAAAGAGAAGCAATATGATTGATACTATGGAAATGACTTTTCTTTACGTTACAATACATTTAACTTCTTCAGTAGCAAGGTAAAACTTTTTTACTCAGATGCATGTGTAAAAAAAATAGTGAAAAATGTTACAAATACTTACACTTTAAAGCCATTTTCTGCTGCTTCCACAGCTTTTTCCACCTCACTCTTCCCACTGTCTGGAACTTTCATCCATGGTTTTCCGGTTGATGGATCAATGCTTTCTATAAATTGATCTGATTTGCAGAAATGTCCATTTATGAAATTCTGCACTACTGGTATACCATTATTCATGATTGACATTGCAAGCCAATTTTAGGTTTATCTGTAAGAATATAAAAAGAAACAAGTTGGAATTTGCTCTCTCTCTCTATATATATATATATATATGAAACTGAAATACAGACTTTAAAAAACTCATCAAACCATAGCCGAGTCAAATTAGCTTCAAATTAACAAATATCTAAGATTTAGTTGTGGGATAGGCTCATAGTTTTTAGCAAACAGAAGTAGCCTTAATAAAGAGCCCCTTATTTAAACATATGAGCATTTCCATAACTTTCTTCCTATATTTGAAAAAAGTAGTCTGTTCTGATCAAAGAAAAAGTCATCCAATTATTTTTTTTTAAGGTTGTAATGCTGTGTTTTGAAAATCAGTTTCCTCATAATGGTTACCTCATAATATAGTTAGATTTTGGAAGATCAGGGGACCAGAAAACAAAACCAAAAACAAACAAGAAATTTGCATTCTAACAAAAAAAACTGAAACATTCTGGCTGAAACTCAAAACAATAGCTTCAGTAAAAACATTGGCAACCATAAGATTGTAATGATATATAGCAGTCATAGATAGAACATTGAAAAAACAATAATGATCCAAATTTGACGATCTGTTTTATTTGTCACAACTCAAATTCAAAGTCTGGATCCTGCATAGTTTAATAGTTAAAAAAAAAAGAGGCATATTTGGCAAGTTTGAACTCCACAGCACATTTTGGGTTAGTGTCATTTCTGGTATATGCTTTAATTGAGAATGCAGTAACAAAAAGCTTTATACCTGATTCTAGTGACTGTAATAGTAGAATAGCAGTATTATCAAAAGAGACAACTGTACTTTTAAAAAGAAAAGTATCATAAATGTACAATTACTGTGCGGACATAACTTGTACAGAAGAGGATATAATGTGAACAGTGAAAAACTGAAATAATGAGTTCAAATTCTGTTTATCCATCTACACAAATTACATTTTTTTTCATTGTACAATAATAATAAAGCTTTGTAAGTTATTATAACTCCATATCTGCTTCATGTTTCCAGTGTAATTATTTTCCAAAATATGTACACAAAATTTATAACTTGATGAAAACCTTTGTATTTCTTAAATGAGAATTGTTTTTTTTTTGTGTGTGTGTCTTAGAATGCAATTTACCAAAGCATGATGAGTTGTTTTATCTGAGTTTCATTTCATTAAATAAACTTTTATATTTATTTTATCTTACACATGAAATAGTTATACTACTTTTACACAGAAGATAAATAAACTCTCTTCTAAACTCTATATTGGAAAGGAAAATTGTCTAAATGGAGTTCTATCACAACCAATATATGATCTTTAAGTATTTTAAGAATCAGTGAAGGGTAGTGTCAATAGGGGGAGGCTCATCCTGTTGCCATGTTATTGATTTCCTTTTATATAGTATTTTTTTTTAAGTTGTAGCACAAAAAATTAACTAGATAAACAGTAAAACTGAACTGCAGATTTGGAAATAAACTGATTTTAAGTGCTGAAGGGAACAGATTTATTTTCTGAAATACAAAATTGAGAACATAAAAGTAAAATAATAATAAAGAAAATACCTCACTACTATAAAGGCTTGGTTTGATCTAAAGTTTCAATCGGTGTTCATGTCCATGGTCACTGATGAGGAGTGGAATTCTAGCTGGCCCACAGACACACCCACAATGAAAGAATAGACCATTCCAAGCATTTACTTGTTGTTAAACAATTGCTTAAACAACTCTGTTCAACTATGTATCAACTGCCTAGTGTCGGCTAAAAATACGAATAATTAAATTGTGGCAGAATACTACAAGTTCTTAAAATACCTATAGAATGACAGGTTTCTTTTTCGTTAGTGTAAAACACTTAAAAAACCATTTCGATACCTCACTATCATAAAGTCTTGGTTTGGTCTGTCTGAAGTTTCACTTCTGTATTTCTTATAAAGCTTTTGTTCATTCGTGCCTCACCTATGGCCACATTGCCTGGATCTCTGCTTCTTTTTCCTTCTATCATTCACTACAAGTTTTGGAATGCCATGCTTTACCCATCGCCTTTCATTTACCACGTTCCAGTCCTACTCATGAATTATACTCACTCATCTCTTTCCCCCCACATCCTAACACATCTACGGAGTATGTTCACTGTTGCTTCTATCAAAAATCTCCTATCTTCGATGAAATTCTACCATATTCGGTAATTACTCCCCGCAAACAAAACCTCCCACAGATCATCCCGACTACACTGCGACCCCAATGACTGATATTCCATCACACATTTATCCCTGATTACATTTCCCAATAATATACATCAAACTCGTCTTTTGCATCTCAGTTCACGAACTCACTTAATCATCTCTATATACGATTTTTCAACTGTGTTCTTCTTACATCTCCTGGCCGCTGAGAGGACGTAACCCTCTGATGGCTGCCAGCGCTTCAGGCTGGAATGAAATGTGGTCAAACAACAATATATATATATATATATATATATATATATATATATACACACACACTA